GACCTGAGTGGTCTGGGAGGCTGCCAACAAATGTGTTATGTATTGAGGCGCTGATCCATTCAGTGAGTTATAGACTAATGAAGGATTTTAAAGTCTATTCTCTGAGCTACAGGGAGCCAAATACCTTCTTTAGTTTCTTTAAGATTCATTTATTGATCACACAGTGAATTAAGAGGGTGTTCAATGACTTTTTTTTATTTTCATTTTTGTCTTTAAGGAATATATCCATGTTTTCTTCTTTCTCTAAATTTTGACATTCTCTGTCATCGTCAATAAGTGCATCATTAATTTTGAATGTTCCTTATAATGATTGCTTAAAGTTTCTTTTTTCTAGGTTAAATAAATACTTTTCTCCTTGTTGTAGCCATTTCCTTCTAGATCTAATAAAAGCACGCCTGACCTTGTTTTCATTAACTGTATCTACTTCCAATTTAGTATTCTTAATCTTCTTTGTGTCCTTCAATATTTCCATTAGTTTTTAGATGACTAATATTCCTTTTGTCATTTGTGTAATAATTCGTGAGACGGTTATAGCAACTGACTAGATTTCAAATATCATTATTTTTTAGTGAATTAGCTTGAGTCCAGTATTTATTAATGATTTCTAGGGCAGCTGTTTGGAATTCTTGGTTTTCTAGCAAGATTTTGATTATTTCAAATAATCTGCGCTGTTTTTATGGTGAGTTTATTCGGCGTCTACTTTGACAGTGATGACCTTGAGGTCTGTAAAGGATTTATGGTTCATCTCCGAGCTTATCACTTTATTTACAACGTCTGAAAAAATCAACCAGAACTCAAAACGGGATTATGGAGATCTGTCCTTATCTGTGTGGAGATTTGTCTTCTAAATGTTTATTTCTCCATATATCAGTTAGATCCATTCTATTACCGATGGTTCTAAGTTAGATGTTCGGTTTCTCGGTGGCCAACTGTCCTTATTCTTATCCTTTACTGCTTTAAAATTCCCTCCCTATATAACTTTAGCTGAAGGGAATAAGGATTATAGAAGTATGGTCCTATTTTCTATTGTTGAAAATAAATTCATATTTTGTTTTGGATTATTTAAGCCATAAATGTTTATTATATAAATTGTTCTGATCAATATCAACTATTAAAATAATCCATCTACTAGTGGTTTCTGTAACTTGAGGTATAATGCTTCCATAGAATTTTCCTTGTAGAACAGCGCCCCCTGCTGACCTGTACTCTGTCTTTCATCGGGGTGGTTTGGGGTTGATGCTACCAGTAATTAATTTCCTCCTTAAGGGGGAAAAGGATACCAGTGCATCTCTTCAATAGGACCCTTGTCTTTGATTACATCAGCCTCCGTTTTTACCTTCTGCTATGGAAGTTTTCCCTCCAATGTTTGTAGGCTTATTGTTATTGATGTAGTAAGAGCATAATAGTTAACTAGTTTCTTTTTTTATTTGTAATTAATCAATTTACTTTTTTATTTGTAACACATTTGCACCTCTAACTCCCACTAGGGGGACAAATTCGCTATTTGTAGGATAAAATGTCAAACTCAGATGGACTGTGTTGATTTAATAGACCAGTGACCATGACCCTTAAAACCACCTTTACTGTGGGAACCACCACCCAATAAAAAGCTTCCTTTTTTCTTACAGCTATTAGTATGAAATCATAGGGAGCTGCAAAATGTCGGACCACAACCAGAAACAACATCTATAACGGAGGAAAAATGGGCTCTAGATAAACTCAAATCCACCATTATCAAACCAGCAGACAAATACGCAGCCATTGTCATCATAAGCCTCTTTCCCACTGAAAATAGCCGTTTAACGCATGTTTTCCAAACGCGTCGAACCGCTAGCAAACGGCATCTGGCTCCTCTCGCATGGGCATAACGCTACCAGAGTCCATCTTGTGCTTCATGTCGTCTTCCTTGTCTGCTGTTGTCAAGGTGATTAAAATATTTCACTCCAGCCCTTTAGGTAGCTGTAAAACACAAAAAAAATCAAAATTGAATCTTAATACTGGTGAAAAATAATCGCAATTGAATTCCTTAGAAACCAATCCTTAGACGGTATTTTAATTACTATCCAAGTCTTATCTCTCTGGAATCAAATATTGTTTTGAGCTTTTTTACAGTTGATCTTGGATTTTTCTTTTGTTTTATCTCCACAGGGAGTTTCCCACTTGCTTTTATTTCCTTGTTTACTTTTTTACCAATTAAATGCATGCTTGTATCTCTGGTCGCCTGAGTGATGATTCATAAAATGCACTCAAAAGGGTCAGACTTGGACATGCTATTCCTGCACAAATCTGGACATAAAATGTCAGGCCACGATTACTGTAAACCGGGTTCAGTTAACCGTCTGCATGAGCAGAATGTGAAGTTTACCACGATCATTGAGATACCGTGGAGAATCGTGAACATGCACCATATTTCACTGGTAGAAAGTTGTCAGGGGTTCAGGAATTGAATTCATGTGTTGTTGTGTATAGGTTGTGTACACTCTGGTGTGGATATATAGCTAGTAAATATATAGTG